GTACAATTATCATTGATCACCTACAATTATCATTGATCACGTACCATTACCATTGATCACCTACGATTACCATTGATCACCTACGATTACCATTGAATTGACCACGTACAATTATCATTGATCACCTACAATTATCATTGATCACGTACCATTACCATTGATCACCTACGATTACCATTGAATTGACCACGTACAATTATCATTGATCACCTACAATTACCATTGATCACGTACCATTACCATTGATCACCTACAATTATCATTTATCACGTACAATTACCATTGATCACCTACGATTACAATTGATTACATACAATTACCATTTATCACCTTCGATTACCATTGATCACCTTCGATTACCTTTGATCGTGCTCTCGATCACGATGGAGCGTTGCAAGCAATATGTTCTGTAAGATTTTGCTCGTCTGCTGGTGCGTGGTTTGCGCGTTGAGTGGAGCAGACGCCTCCTCCTCTACTCATCCGCTGCTGCTGATCGTGTCGTTCGACGGGTTCTGATATGACTACCTGGATAAGACGGACACACCAAACGTTGACGCCCTGATTGCAGATGGTGTGAAAGCCAAATGGATGGAAGCCGCCTTCCCCACGAAGACTTATCCAAACCACTACACGCTTGCGACGGGTGAGTTGGGAACATGTATGTGTTACAGGTTTTCAGGACCATAATAATGGGGTAGGATTAGGGGGCGTTAATCAACTGACATATCTGTATGGACGGGATAACCATGTCTTTTAGAACGTCCTTTCACGACAGCGATTGGCTACCTGCCTGTCAAGCACTCCAGGTGGATAGATCTATTCCCCGGGTCAGTTAGACTGGTCCAATCCGGTCGGTTGGATTAGTTGCCAGGTGTTCCTGGACCTGATGTTTTGCGTGCGGCGCCCATCTAGTGACCTGCTCACAGTCGAGTCTCGAAGTCAATGCAGTAGCGTCCCCTATCTGCAGGGCTATACACGGAGTCGCAGAGAATCATCGCCAACGAGTTCTACGACCCTGACATTAATGCGACCTTCAGCGCGGAGACAGGAATGAATGTCTCCCATTGGTGGAACGCTGGCTGCGAGCCGATCTGGGTGACCATTCAGAGATGCGGCCGCGCGAAGGAGGCGGGGCCTGGTTGCCGCTCACGCCGCAGTGGCACCTTCGCGTGGCCTGGCTCCGGGAGCAAGGTCAAAGGTCAGCGGCCGCACCATCACGCACCGTACGATTTGTGCGTCCGTTCCACGATCGAGTCGACGCGGTCGTTTCGTGGTTCACGGACGCAGACGCGCCAATCAACCTGGGACTCCTACACATCTACGAACCGGACGGCGCGGGACATCGGTACGGTCCCTACTCACCAGAGGTCAGGCGATGATCGAGGCGATGGACAACGTGACCGGTTACCTGGTGAAGAGACTGCGCGATGTTGGCCTCTATGATAGAATCAACTTGATCATCACGAGGTAAGGATCATGCAACTCTAGATGAACGTACACATGACATGTACAAACGTAGCATACGTAGCTAAGTAACATACATTACGATACCGAACCTAAACTCACACGATAACGGATTTGGGTTGGTTAGGTTTTTAGTTTTTTGTTTTTGTTTTGAGCAGTTGGTGAAGGTCGCAGATGTTGATAATAATGACGTCGGCTGTTGTGTGTGGGGCCCCCTGACGAGTAGCTGCTGGAATGTGATGTGATGCTCTTGTGTTTGTAGCGATCATGGGATGATGTCCGTCGATCCGCAAAACACCACAATGCTGAACGACTACATTGACAGCGCCACCTACCGGGGACAATCGATTCCGGGTTCCATCGCGCTTATCTACCCCATGCCAGGTAGCGCTCTCTGGTGGTGCAGGTCACTGTCAAACGGGTGGGCAATGGTGGGGTTCCTTTTTCATGATGACACATCCACACTCACGCATGCACTCACGTACGCACACGCACACACACGCACACACGCACACACACAGACAGACACACACACCCACGCACGCACGCACGCACGCACGCACGCACGCACGCACACACATACGCACACACACCTTGAAGCTATTCGGAGATGACACTGACAAGCATGCGCGCACACATATCTATACATATGAAGCTGTCAATCAGCACCTGACTCTTCTGCTGCTGTGTCTGCAGGAGAGGAAGATACCATCTACGAACAGTTGAGTAAGCTGGATCACATCACGGTGTGGCGCAAACGTGACGTTCCCTCCTACTACCACTACAGCAACAACCCGCGCATCGCTGACATCGTGGTGATGGCCGACGAACACTGGACCATCGCCACCAACACCGCGCCATCTGATAAAGGTAAGTGACTGTGCACTGTTCTTCCAGTTACCCACTCCACCGACCACAGCCCTCCTGTACTTTGATGTACAGTACTAGTGATATATCGGCAGATACTCGCTGTATATTTTTGACCCTCCATCCATCACCAGCGCTGCCCATTCTTTACTCGATAACTGACCGCTGAGTGTTTAATGACGGGTTACTATTGTCCATTCGTTACTCAACAGGTCACCATGGTTACGACAGTCGTCTGCTTTCGATGCATTTGTTCTTTGTGGCGCGCGGCCCGGCGTTCCAGAAGGGTCTGATCAGCGAACCATTTGCCAACGTCAACGTCTACCCACTCATGTGTGAGATACTCGGTACGTGCAACCAGCGCTCTCTGTAGACTAGTCCCCCAGCTCAGTGTATGTAATTTTTAATTTTTAAGGAAGACAAGTTTAAACGCACTTAACTGATTAACATGTGTATGATTTGTTGTTTCTTAAATTGTTCAGCATTCAATTGCCATGTGTGTGTGTGTGTGTGTGTGTGCGTGTGCGTGTGTGTGTGTGTGTGCGTGTGCGTGTGTGTGTGCGTGTGTGTGTGCGTGTGCGTGTGTGTGTGTATGAGTGTGCATTTGTTTCTTTATTTGTATACATGTTCTGGCGTGCGAAAAATGTAGTGCACGACATCTTTCCTGCAGGACTCACGCCGGCACCAAACAACGGTTCGCTGGCTAACGTGAAGTATCTACGGAAGAGGAAGCCAATCATGGAGTAGGCAGCTTCCTTTCTTAGTGCACAGTCGTTTGCCGGCATCATAGGAATATTCGGTGAGCAAGGGGCAAGGGGCAAGAGATGGCGAGAGAGAGAGAGAGAGAGAGAGAGAGAGAGAGAGAAAATCAGACTTCGCTCTCCGCAAGCGAGCAGCTACTATTCAGTATAATGCAGCTCAGCTTTTGCAGAGAGTGAGGAATGAGTGAGTAAGTAGATATGAAGAAAGCAGACAAAAATAAGAGGACTGAGATGAGTAGAGAGCATGCAGGAGATAGAGAGCGAGCGAGAAATCTATTTCACTCCTGTGTTAAGGAATAACCAATTACTACATTACCAGTACTAGCATCCCAGGCAGGGGCGTGTGCAGGATTTGTACCAGGGGGGGGGGGTCTGACCGTAACCCAAACTTGGGAGCACGCGAAGGGGGGGTCTGGGGGGTCCATCACCCAGAAAAATTTTGAAATTAGACCCCCTCAGATGCGTTTTCTGTGCGAGCAGGGGAGGGGGGGTCCAGATCCCCTGGACCCCCCCCCCCCTGTACACGCACCTGCCCACTCAGTGGTTAACACTATAACTATCGTCTCTGTTCACAGTGGGAGTAGCAGTGCTTGCCATGCTGGGGCATCGGTGATGACAGCGCAGCATCTCCATGGCAACCTCAAACGGCAGCAGTGTGCTTAGCAACGAGGATGGCAAGGAGTGCAATGATTAAGCAATGGGATATTTACTTCACCCGCTCCTAATTGAAGGGATCTCCTCCAGGGTTCGACATTAACTTTTTATTTCACTAGACCATCGGGCTAGTAACTGAGGAAAGCCACTAGCCCTGACCTAACTTTCACTAGCCCCGAACCCAGACCATTGTTATGGAAAACTTTATTTAGATAAGAGTGTGTCATCGTATGAATTCATAGATGCTGTTTCCCGCGCTTTAAATCGCGCGTGGGCCGAGTTCACGTGCAGCATTCGTATTCTACCACGGGCATACACAAGCGCACGGTTTATCGATCGTCTACTGCGGCTGGCAGCAAGCCACGTTATTGTTTTTGCCTAAGGGTAGACTGGTATCCGGCCTCACGCTCTGCTAGACAATGTACACGCTCTGCGACAAACAGTGCGGGCGTGAACCAGTCTAGCCAGAGGTGACCTTTCAGTGCAATAATGAATATATATATGACCAATTCTATCACGACCAGTCGGGCTACTAGCATTCTGGTTGTATGCGACCGGACCAAGCATTTACCCAAATAGGTCGGTCAGACGTAGGTTAGTGTCGAACCCTGTCTCCACATGCATTTAACACATGTCAGGTTCAATATGCCTTCTGAGTTGCTAATTTGTGATATCGATGATCCCCTGAGATGCCATTATTGCCTTATCGACATGCCTTAATTTTCAGAGGCATTTCCTTTTGACTTAATTTATCACTCATTGATCACTGCCTTTATCTCACGACTGTGATTTCACAAATGGTCTCCAAACTAATCCTGTGTATATTGGGGGTAGTTATGACGCACGTAATTGACTCCAATCGATTCAACCCTCTCCCAGGCCCTCCCGTATCCATCCATAAACGACATGTCTTCTGAAATACCTCGGTAGAACCTGGCAATGCACACACAGACATACACCCACGCGTGTCTACATGGAGACGGCATGCAGCACATACACAAACCCACGCAACCACACAGATAACTATACACATAGGATTGCATATTGGTAGTTGTGTCTTGTGTCTTGATAATTTATTCTGTGATAAAAATTAACACATTTGGTGAATTCTGCATTCGATGCAGTCGTTCTGGTTGGTGGAATTACTGAATAATATACAGTTTTGATGGGGAAGAAACTGAGCATTGTCAAAAATATGCAGCCCAATTGTAAAAAGCAACTAAATATCTGCTTTCAAATGGTGAATTTCAGCCTCCATTTGGATTGTGAATGGGTCTGATAGACCCATGTCTGGTCTGCATGGACCCAGATACGTGAAGGTCTCAGTAGCTGACACTTTCTTCTTTCATTCGTCTGCTGTTGTGTCTGCAGGAGAGGAAGATACCATCTACGAACAGTTGAGTAAGCTGGATCACATCACGGTGTGGCGCAAACGTGACGTTCCCTCCTACTTCCACTACAGCAACAACCCGCGCATCGCTGACATCGTGGTGATGGCCGACGAACACTGGACCATCGCCACCAACACGCCAAACTTCAAGCAAGGTCAGTTGACCTTTGTCCATCCAGTCGTGACCACCGCTTGCTCAACCACTTCGACCACGCACTTTTATTTCATCATAATTTATTCTTAAATTGACTACGTCACTAATTTTCGATGGTAAAATTTGTAAAAAAAATTTGCTATTTTTTTACATTAAAAGTAAGAACTAACGGGACCAAACGGATCGTAAAATTCTTACCTGATAAGATTGTTTCTCAACTAGTTAAAAATCCAAAAAATCTGGACGATTTGATATTAGTGTTCCTGACATTAATTGCTTGCTATGGGCTATGTATGCGTCACGAGTGTATGTTCACATCAAACAATATAGTAAAATAAAAGTATAATTCAGCAATTTAACCATAAAAAGTGAACAGAATTACTTATATTTTGTGAAAAAGTGGAAATAGTTTTTTTTAATTTTTACTATTTACGGTGACGTAATCACTTTAATCATACACTGTCCAGGACTGTGTGATGTGTTTGATTATTACCTACAAGGCGACCACTGTGTGTTTGGTAACGTACGCGTATTGTCTCATTGTTACTTACTAGGTGATCGTTCTATGTTCGTTAACAGGTGACTCGTTAACAGGTGTATTGTTCGCTCGTTTACTCAGATGGTGACTGCCTTATGCTCGTTACCAGCTGAAAGTTTCATATCTTGGCATTCAATTTTTACCACGGCAAATGTTTTCCCTAGACTGCAGCAGTTGCCCCCCGAAAATCCGGCCAATGTACGTGGGATTAAATTACTGTGATTTATCTAAGCTGGTTTCCCTGTGTGTTCTTACACGCCTTATACATTCTGTGTTGTGTTTGTCTCTCTCTCTCTCTAGCCTCTGCATCACATCACACGTCTTGTTAAAGTGATTACGTCACCGTAAATAGTAAAAGTAAAAAATTATGTCCACTTTTTCACAAAATGTAAGTGATTCTGTTCTCTTTTTATGGTTAAATTGCTGCATTATACTTCCTATTTTGCTATTGCGTTCGATGTGAACAAACACTCGTGACTCATACATAGCCCATAGCAAGCATTTAATGTCGTGATAAATGTATCAAATCGGCCAGATTTTTTGCGTTCTTAACTAGTTGACAAACAATCTTATCAGCTAAGAATTTGAGGATACATTGTAGTGCCATTAGTACTTACTTTTCATGTAAAAAAATTGCAACAAAAATGTTACAAATATACACCATAGAAAATGTGTGACGTAGTCAATTTAAGAAATGAGTTGCCTCGGTGCCCTTCCTTTGAAGGAAATGTTTTCCTTGGTAGCCCTTCAACTTGAAGTAGTGCACCAACATTTCATTAATACTATGGCAACACTTGCTTTCTCGTGAAAAGTCGTTTGAACCGTGTCTTTCTACCTGCCTGATGTGCAAGCCTCTTCCACTAAAGCATGTTTGTCAAATGTTGTTGACAGGTGACCATGGTTACGACAATCGTCTGCTGTCCATGCATCCGTTCTTTGTCGCGCGCGGCCCGGCGTTCCAGAAGGGTCTGATCAGCGAACCATTTGCCAACGTCAACGTCTACCCACTCATGTGTGAGATACTCGGTACGTGCAACCAGCACCCTCTGTAGACTAGTCCCCCAGCTCAGTGTATAACTTATTTTACGACAGTGAATGGCTGAAAACGCCATAGAATCAATAAAAATTGTATATGCGCGCGCGCGTACTCATCAATATATAATAATGTATCGGTATGAGCTGACAAGATTGCATTAAGCTAATTCCCACTCTCTACTGCATAGCAGGACTCATATGTATATGCGCCGACACATGCACGTGCATACATGCATGCACAAACATGGAACATCATGGCATGCACAAGCTGTAGCGCATAAAGTCTGTGCATATATACATATATCAATATACCTATCCATCTACCTATCTATCTATATATCTATCTATCTATCTATCTATCTATCTATCTATCTATCTATCTATCTCTCTATCTATCCATCTATATATCTATCTATCTATCTAGCTATCTATCTAGATATCTATCTCTCTCTCTATCTATCTATCCATCTATCTATCTATCTATCTATCTATCTATCTATCTATCTATCTATCTATCTATCTATCTATCTATCTATCTATCTATCTATCTCTCTATCTATCCATCTATATATCTAGCTATCTATCTAGATATCTATCTCTCTCTCTATCTATCTATCCATCTATATATCTATCTATCTATCTA